GAATGAAATTGAAGAGCGCAAAAGAAATGATTTCCGATAAGTTTGGCTGAAGTTGAACGCCAGGCGCCACCCAATGGACCTGTGTAGAAAGCTGTTCACTGATTTGAAACGATGCTCTTTGCACATTTTGACGTCGCCATCTACTGAAAGTAACTCCCTATGCGCCGTCGACAATTGGCTGCACTCCGGTGATTTTCATGCAAAAGGATTCTTTTTGGCGTCACATTTTATGAATCATAGGCACTATCAAGCTGTCTGTGGTAGTTTCTTACGCGGGGAGTCCAATTATTTGTGTTGAAATAAATTAATTGAAATTGCATGGTTATATTAAAAAAATTACTAAAGCAACTGAAAACTATGGACATGGGACAAAGCACGATATACAATTCCGTGGTATTCATAAATAAACCGATAAAGCGAATGCTTATATCACACACGCGATTAAGAACGTAAAACAGATATAGGTGTGATTTTGCGAACAAACAAGTTGCCTAATGCTAAGGTACCATTATTTCTAGCATAAAAAATTATTCAAACTAAATGTTTGTTCCCGCGCCCTGTCCACTAGTTCCCTAGTGTAATCAAAAGAAACTGTTTTCGATCTGTTGGAACTACAAAACACCATTTTTTCAGGAAAAACACGTGGCTAATTACGCTGAGTGGTTTTGTTTTCTTCCTTGACACCAATGCGCACTCATATATATATATATCATAACATTGGGCTTCCTAAAGCAAATGTTCCGCCCTTATTAGTAACCAAACTTCAGTTCTCATAAGTTATTAGTATTTGAACCCTCGAGGCTCTCTTCAAGTCCTATATGTTCTCAATGTGCGCAAGTGCCTACGCTGATTCCTGTTCCTATAAAACCTTTTCACACGTATCCCGCACGCCGACGGTAAAAAATATTCAAAACGTGTTACAAAATCAATTACAGAAGTTGCGCGCATAATGATGTAATGCAATTGCATGGTAAGTAGAAGTGTCGGACGACACTTTACGGAGCAAGGCAAGAGACGCGGTGAAACGCGACGAAAAACACGAATTCAACGCATCCGCCAAGGCGCGGACGGGAGAGCGGAGCGACAAGTTGAAGCAACCCAATGGCGGCCGCATCACGTGATTCCAAGATGGCAGCGCCCATGCGGTGGACGGTGAAAAGGTCTATACGCATGATGTTAACCATCACAAAAAAAAGGGGAAAAGCTTGGCATTTTGGTTCTGTTCTCGGCTCTACGAAAGTTAAGCAAGTTATCTGAAAGAGCGGAACGGGGAGATGCACTGGTAAATGTGTGTAAAAAAACACGCGACAAAGTACGTGGGTTGCAAAGTGGGGTTGCGTACAGAATCCCTGCCTTGTGGGAAGGTGTAGGTGGGGCAGTCGGGGAGATAGGTGAACGAAAGGTTGAGGGAACATGCCCTGTCGTTGAGGTCAGATCTCTCTGGTAATCTAGCAGTGCATTGTAATAGGTGTGAATGTATACCTTTTTTCGACAACACCGTCATCTTGGCATAAAACATGAATGTGAAGACAAGGGAGATAGTGGAAGCGTTTTTTATTGCAGATTGTGAGGAAGATACTTGTGTTAGGAGGGAGAGAGAGAGAGATAAACATGTCTATTGGAAAGATGAAGAGGCTATCCCGCGGGAATGCAGGATTGCTACTTCATACATGGGAAAGGGAGCAAGAGGCGAAAAAAAAAAAAAGAAGATAAAAATAAAAACATTAAACTTACAGGATGGCTGTCAGTTACTTTTGGAGCGTGTCCTAGAGTGTTTTATCAAGTTCGGTCGCTTAAAAAAAAACGAATCAATGAACTCGTCAACTTGGCTCCTTGCGATGTTGGTGTCCATGGCCCCAGGAGATGATTGAGCGTGGGCGTTTCTCCGTTGTGAAGAGCCAGGGAGTTTATCATTTCATTTCTTTGGTCAGCGTAGAGGGCGCAGTGACGAAGGACGTGTTACAGCGTTGCTACGACGTCACAGCTAATCGCAGATAGAGGAGTTCAGCTGACCTGTGAGATTTAGATAATATTTCGTTGAGGTCACGTTCAGTCGTATGGTGAAGAGCGGTTTCTGTCCGAAGTTTGAGCCCGCGGGGAGGGCGAAAGGTAAGAAAGGGGTCAATTCTATGAAGGTGTCTGTAATGATATAATGGTTCGCCCAGAGGGTGTTTATATAGCCGCAGTAATACGGTTGGTTGTAGCTGTGGTGTCTTATCGTGAGAATGAAATTTCCAGTCTGGATGTGAGATGATGAGCATTCTTGGCTGCATAGTCAGCACTTTCGTTGCCTCTAAAACCGCAATCGCTCGGACGCCACTGTAAAATAACTGTGTGACCATTATTTATAGCCTCTTTATTAAGTTTAAGGATCTGATGTACCAGCTGAGCATTAATGTTCGTGCTTTTGGTAGATTTAAGGCTCTGAAGAGCTGCCCTTTTAAATCGGTAAAGAGCGACCAGTTGGTTGGGACACTCGTACAAATTAAGTGAATTGCTTCTCTAACCGGCTACTAGTTCTGCTGCCGTCGATGATGTTACATGACCTAGCTTTCCCTGGAGTATTTCATTTATTGATCGTATAACAAAGCCGTGGTTGGGAGTTTCGTGATTAGAAGACCCATCAGTGTACTCACGAATTCGAGAACGGTGATGCATATTAATGGTTTCTAGAGAATGTTGCCTCAATACCTCCGATGGCGGTATTGAGGTATTGAGGTCTTGAATGTATTCCTGGAACATCTAGCTTTATAGAAATTATGGCATATATTCATGGTGGTAACAACGAGAACTCTGCTGGTTCAAAATCTCATGGAAGATCCGAGTTATCGATGTTCACGATTTGGGAAAAACCAGACGCGCTTTTGCTCTTTGCGATGTCTGCTAGGTAGTGAGCAGTCTCTGTGCCTTGTCAGGTGGTGGAGGTGCGCTCGTAAGACTTTTTGAAGTCTCAGCGCTCCAACCGGAACTGCCCCTGCCTCAGCTACAGTTCCGACATTTGAGGTGCATCTTGGGAGCCGGTTCGTAGAGCTTGAGCCTGCATACCTTCCAATGTTCTTACATTTGTACGGCGCATCCCATGAAGTACCGGTGGGCTGTATCGAAGGAAGCCGACAAAAAGGGCGTTATATAGTTGAAGAAGGGCAGCTGCAGTGGTGCTTTACTCAGTGCCACTTATGAATCGCATGAGCTGAATAATGCCGAGAAGCTTTATTTTCATTTGTTTTATGTGCGGTGTCCGTGTCAAAGACTTGTCCAGAACTGTTCCGAGGAATCTGTGCGTTTTCACATAAGATATAGAATGACCATTGACTTTCAGACAGTACCTATGAATACTCGTTTTGGCAAATGCTATAGCAGCTGCCTTTGACGGGGACAGAGATTGTACACGATGTTGCAAGTAGCGGGAGATGATCTCAAGTGATTTTTGTAAGCGGATCCGATTAAATCGCTGCGTAATTGATGACGTTCATATGCAGATGTCGTCCACGTAAAGAGTAATGCTGACGCCCCGGGGAAGTTTGTTTACGAGTGCCAGGAGGGCTATACTGAAGAGTGCAGGACTAAGAAATCCGCCTTGCGGCACGCCTCGAGATACTGCATGCTCAGACGTCTTCCCGTCTGCTGTTAGCATGTGAACTGTTCGACTATCTATAAGTAGCTTAATATCCACGAGTAGAGACGTCCTTCTATTCCGGCATAGCTTAGGGCGTCACGGATAGCCTTAGGATTTACTGAGTCAAACGCGCCGTTTATATCTAGAAATGCAGCGGTAGTGATTCGTCGGCATTTCCTTTGTTCTTGGATGCTAGTTGTGAGTAGGGATGCCGCGAACTTTTTTCGAATCGAAGTTTCGATGATCGATTCAAGCGGTTCGAAAGGTTCGAAAGATTTCGATTTTTCGAATTGTCTATATCGTAAAATTCGACGGAGGTCGAATTTTCGACCTTGTTAAGCTAAGAAGTTCGACGCTTTTCGAACCGTCGAACTTATTACGCTAAAAAATTCGATCTTTTTCGAACTTTCGAATTTATTGCGCTGCAAGGTTCGATGCTTGTCGAACTTTCGAACTTGACTGACCAAAAAATTCGATGAATTTCGAACTTTCGAACCTATTTATCAAGAGAATTCGAAAAGTTTCGAACTTTCGAACTCTGAAAAGTCAGAAGTTCGACGAACTTCGAACTTTTAGGGTAAAAGTTCGACGTTCGTCGAACTTCGAAAGACCGGCGGACGGTTTCATTTGATTTCAAGTAGTGGGGTACATTCGTAATTTTTTTTTTTCTCGAACTTTTACACGCGGTGCTGCGTTCCTTACGAAAGACAATGTCGTTTATTTCAATCTTCTGGCATGCTTAGGTTTAAAGAAATAAATCCCCGAAGGGGCGAGGAAGGACGACGGGTTTTTGACGATTATCGTTTGTGCCAGATTTGAAGCACGCTGCAGCCGGAGCTATTCATGGTAGATAAGTTATACTTTTTTTTAAGAATGATCTATGTATAGCCTAGGTAAGTGCCGTTTTAAGATGTGATTATTGTTATTCAACGTGAGTTTCGAAGAAATGTCCAAACATGTATCTGCATGCAATTATGACCTAAACTTGATATTTATTTTCGTCTAAGTTGTTTGAGGTATTGCATTTAAATTAACACCACAGACAGTACATATCATTGCCATCTGCAGAATACAAAATAATATATTTATTGTTTTTTTCACGTTAAGGAATAAATTAACTCATGGGAGTGTAGCAGCTAGCCAACGATGGCACCATTGGAAGAAGAGAAAGACACGACGGACACGGGGCACGAGAGAATAAAGAGCATTCATTCCGAATCGCCATTCTGGCTGATGCGTGCTGCTTCGTACATGGTGGCAGCGGCTAAACTTATCGTGAGCGAGGCACGTAAGTGACCAGCCTATGCAGGAAGCCAGAACTGACAACAGTGGCAACGCGACCGAGGACCGCGAAGGACGCCCACGAGAGCAGACAGCGAGCATCATGACCTGTCTGTTGCCCCCGCCGAAGCAGCTAGACCTAACCGGCGAGCCTTGGAATACATGGAAAACGTGGATCACGGAATTTGAACTCTTTGCGGTGGCAACGCACCTGAAGGACCAGCCAAGCAATGTTCAAGCAGCAACGCTCCTCGTCTGCATCGGAGAGGAAGGTAGGCGGATTTACAGCACCTTCACATTCGAAAACGATGCCGACAGACAGAACATACAAGTTCTGAAGGACAAGTTTGAGCAGCACATGAAGCCAGCTATAAACCTAACGTACCACGAATTTGTTTTTGGAAAGAGAGATCAAAAAGACGGAGAGAAATTCGATGAGTGGTTGACCGAGCTAAGGATCCTCGTGCGAAACTGCGAGTACGGTGTTGTCGAACAACGCATGTTGAGAAGCCGAATAATACTCGGGACTAAAGACAAACAGCTACAGCAAAAGCTTATCAACGACAATCCCACTTTTGCGAAAGTACTCGAAATGTGCCGAACAAAGGAACGAACGCAGGAGCAGTTCAATGAAATCCGCAAAGAGTATGACCAAAATGAGGATGACCGAAGTGAGGACCCACCAGGAATACAGGCGCTGCGAAAAGACCAAGCGACATGCCGCTGTTGTGGTTTCGTACACCGCACGAGCGCATGCCCGGCTACAGGAAAGCAATGCCTTAGCTGTGGCAAAGTTGGACATTTTGCAAAATGCTGCAGCAAAGGTCCACAGTCATCTAACAGCCGACAACTGTGCAGCGCCAAGGAAAAAGAGGAAGAAAATACGACCACAAAGTCCGCCAAGTTGAGCGTGAGGACACTGACGAAAGCGATGAAGACTATCTGCTCTGTCACCTAACAGTGAACAAGATAGACAAAGAAGACCGCTGGAGTGAGACAATACAGATCGAAAAAGACCGCCTACGCTGCAAGCTCGACACAGGAGCAAATTGCTCCGTAATCCCAAGGAGATTACTCAGCTTGATCTCAAGTAAAAAAGTCCGCAAGTGTGACACTACACTGTCATCGTTCTTTGGCCACAAAGAAAAAGCGTGTGGAAGAGTTACCCTGACAGTGTCAACTGGAGCCTCAACGACCCAAGAGGAGTTCTTTGTGGTCAAAGATGATGTACCAGTGACACTGGCGGGAGAGCTGAGTGAGAGGCTCGGATTGATCAGACGCATAGCTACAGTCACAGAAGGACCCAACGATGCGACAAAGGAAACAGCTACAAGCTTGAGCGATCCTACGGGACCATATGCAGATGTCTTCCTTGGACTGGGAAAAGTCAGGGGCTTTACATACAGCATGAAAGTAAACCCTGGTACAAAAGGTATTGTACGCCCAGCAAGAAAGGTACCGGTGGCTCTCCAGGAGAAGGTCAAGCGCGAGCTACATAAAATGGAGAACGAAGGGGTAATCATGAAAGTCAAGGAGCCGACCGAATGGTCCAGCTTCATGGTAGTTGTCGCAAAGAAAGACAAAGTGCGCATCTGCATGGATCCAGTAGACTTGAACAAAGTTCTGAAAAGAGAACACTACCTAATGACGACAATGGATGACATCGCCACCCGAATTGCCGGAGCGAAAGTGTTTTCGGCTCTGGACGCATCTTCTGGGTTTTGGCAAATAGAACTCGACGAAGAGAGTTCGAAGTTGTGCACAATGAGTATTCCCTATGGGAGGTACAGGTTCAAAAGGATGCCCTTTGGGATAAGCACAGCTCCTGAAGTTTTTCAGCGCGTCATGAACGAGATTTTGGAAGACCTCCCCGGAACAGCAGTTGTGATGGACGATATACTAGTCTGGGGTAAAACCCAGCAAGAACACGATGAAAACATTAGGCGCCTGCTCCAACGCTGTCGAAATGTGAACCTACGACTCAACCCGAAAAAGTGTCAATTTGGCAAGACAGAAGTTCGTTATCTCGGGCAAGTACTAACCGGAGACGGCATCACCGTGGATCCAGACAGGATCCAAGACATCCTGGAAGTGAAAGAACCTAGAGATCCCAAGGAACTTCGAACATTCCTTGGAATGATCACATACCTCTCTAACTTCATACCACGACTTTCGGAGCGAGCAGCACCGCTGCGGGAACTGCTGAAGAAGGAGAGCGCGTGGGTATGGACAGAACAACAGCAAAGAAGCTTTGAAGACCTGCGGGATGCCTTGACAAAAGCACCAGTGTTGGCATACTACACACCAGAAAAGCCCATAACGCTCTCAGTCGACGCAAGTCAATACGGCGTGGGAGCAGTTATCACCCAGGAAGGAAAGCCACTAGCGTATTCGTCGAGATCCCTGACAGCAGCACAGACAAATTATGCGCAGATCGAGAAGGAGTTGCTTGCTATTGTTCACGGATGTACCAAGTTTCACCATTACATATTCGGACAGCCGTGTGTAACAGTAGAATCGGATCACAAGCCGTTGCAAGCTATTTTTACCAAACCACTGCATCAGTGTCCGATGAGACTACAACGAATGAAGATGGCTCTCCAGAAATACTCGTTGCAAGTGAAGCATATACCTGGGAAAGAACTGCTGCTAGCAGACGCACTTTCACGTTTTCCCGCTAAGGAAACACTGGAAGAAGAGGAAAAGTTCCAAGTAAACGCGCTAGAGCACATATCAGTTACTCAAGACCGCCTTCAAGAAATCCGAGAGGCAACCGCAAGTGACGCACAACTGCAACTGCTGCGTCAGTATGCGCGGACTGCATGGCCGGAAGAGAAAGACCAAGTGCCGCAACTTGGAAGGCCTTTTTGGTCATACCGGGAGGAAATCCATGAAGAAGATGGACTTGTACTCCGATCCAACAAGCTAGTCATACCTACAGCTATTAGGCAAAAGATCATCAACCTGCTGCACGCAGCACACGCAGGCAAGGAGAAGATGAAAAGAAGAGCTCGAGATATCCTGTTTTGGCCAGGAATCAACGCTGACATCGAGGGCAAGTACGACAACTGCAGCATATGTCAAAAGTACAAGCCAAGAAATGTCAAGATGCCACTCTTGAGTCATGCGGTGCCAGCACTGCCTTGGCAGTATGTTAGTGTGGATTTCTTTACTCATCAAGGACGGGATTTCATAATCATGGTGGACTTCTACTCATTTTACTTCGAGGTCGAAGAAATGAAAACCACCACAGCTTCCAAAGTTAAAGAGTTTTGCTTGAAGGCCTTCGCAACACACGGACTCCCTTCAAAACTTTTAAGTGATAATGGCCCGCCGTTTGGGAGCCACGACTTCAAACAGTTCCTGGAAAACTTGAAGATCGAGCAAGTAACTTCAAGCCCTTACCATGCCCGATCAAATGGCATGGCCGAACGAGCCGTGAGGCAGGCGAAACAATTGCTGAGAAAAAGTGCGAACACGGAAGAGTTTTACTATGCACTTCTTGAATGGCGCAACACTCCACGAGACGAGGTCCTCCAATCACCAGTACAAAGATTGATGAGCCGGCATACAAGAACGCTGTTGCCCGCCAGGCTTGAACATTACCTACCTGTTATCGTACCGCCCAAAGCCGTCACACAACGCCTCACAAAAATAAGGCAACAACAGAAGGCTAGCTATGACAAGTCCTCCAGAGCACTAGCAGATATTGAAACAGGTTCTCAAACTACCGTCTACAACAGCCTCAAGCATACCTGGTCACCTGCAATAGTAGTGGGCCATTCTACATCAAGATCCTACAACATTCAGACCCCGGAAGGCCAAGTGCTTCGGAGGACACGCGAACACTTAAGACCAGTGGCACAATCCCCCCAAAAGACGACCTCCGAGGCTACAGAGCCAGTAAACGAGGGTCAAGTTGAGTCTGAGCCGCGCCCGCTGATTCGAAGAGGAACAAGGGATAGAAGGCCACCACAACGATATGGGCTTGACCACGATATTTAGATTTACACAAATCTCTAAACTAGTTTTTTTTTTTTTTTTTTTTTCTGACAAAGGAGATGTAGCAGCTAGCCAACGATGGCACCATTGGAAGAAGAGAAAGACACGACGGACACGGGGCACGAGAGAATAAAGAGCATTCATTCCGAATCGCCATTCTGGCTGATGCGTGCTGCTTCGTACAGGGAGAAGATTTTTAGTAGTGTTCAAGTTCAGCACGTCATTAAAAGAAAACTTTTTTTTTTTCGCTTCACGTTCCTGGGACGTGTTTCTTTTAGCCTGTACACACTTTGGTAAAAGAAACTTGTTTCGAAGTTCTGAACCTCTGAATATGCAAGAATAGAACACTTCCGACGAATTCCTGATAGTTTTTTTTTTTTTTTCTCCTGCTTTTTATTCCCGCATTTATTCTTTTTTTTTTTTTTCTTCTTTTGTTACTATCGGCACAGGTGTTTAGGTCGAAAAGACAGCTTTGAACTTCCGAACCACTAAGCATGTGACGAGCAGTGCCTTCTGACAACGAGTTTCTAACAATGACCATCTACGCAACCTTTTATGCAGTGAAGAGCGGCATTAGCTATACATATGCATAAATAATTTCAGATTAAAATAAGCTCGACCACGCCCTCTTTCCCCGTATTGTTTTCTTTAACAGTCCGAAATACCTGCAAGGCAGAGAAGGAGGCTGAAGCCCTCCCCCTCCCCCCCCCCCCCCCCCCCCCCCCCCCCCCGCTACCCTCTTTCCCCCCGTTTTTCCTCTTCCGACGCCACTTGTATGGTAGAACGCTTTTCGACCTCGAGTTGTGTCGGCTTTTGTGCTTTTTGCGAGGCGATTCCTCCGTCCCAGAAAATAAACCTCCAGGACAATTATAAACTTCACCGGATCGGATTACTACCAGCGTGCAAGGGGTGGCGAGCTAGTTTGCCAGGTTGCTTCACGGTTTTTCTGAGCCTCAACCTCCTGCTCGCCCCTGGCCGTTTCGAACTGGAAGAGTCTCGTAAAACAGTGTGTTCGTGCAATCACTACTGCTTGGTGCAGGTTAAAGACCCCCCCCCCCCCCCCCCCCCCCCCCCACGGGGCTGGCGGTCACAATTCTGCACTGGCAAATATTCTAGCACATCCGGGACACTCGTCGTCTCATTTAATTGCCTGACCAACTTCGCAGAATCTAGATATCACACCCTAACTTTTCTAAACTTGATTTTGTGAAAACCAGTGAGTCGTGAAAACGTTATTTGAAACTGAAACTGTGGAAAAACTTGAAAATCGGACTTCGAACTTTGAAAACTTGGATTAGAAAATAATTCAAAATCTTCGAATTTTTTTTTTTTTTTGAATTTAGCGTTAAAAGAGAATCGAAATTTTCGAACTTTTCGACTTTATGGAAAAAGAAATTCGAAATCTTCGAATTGTTCGAACTTCATGTCTATAAAAATTCGAAGCGTTCGAAGTTTTCGAATCTTTTTTACAAAGAATTTCGAAATCTTCGAATTTATCGAACCTGAAGTAAAAAAATATTCGAAATATTCGAATTCGAAATTTTAGAAACCGTGAAAGCTTCGAACTTTTCGATTTCGAAACTCCGCTGTGGACAAAAGTTGCGAATTTTTCGAAATCGAACCTCGGTCGGTACGAAAATATCGAAATTTTTCGAATCGAACCTCAGTTCGCTTCGCAAATATCGAAACCTTTCGAAATCGAACCTAGGGTGGTTCGCGACATCCCTAGTTGTGAGAACAATGACGTTGTCAAGAGAATTCCTCCCTCGTCTGAAGCCTGCCATAGACTCAGGGTATTTCTCAGATTGTTCAAGGTACCACTCTAGTCGTGTGTGAATCACTTTTTTTTCATCACTTTGCCGACACAATAAGACAATGCGATTGTACGAAAGGATGATAAGACCAGAGGCGATTTCCCTTGCTTAGAGATAGGTATGATGCGCGATGTTTTTCACT